CAGGACTTGTCTCTAGGAGAAGAGAAATTTAGATACCAATTGCCTGACTGGTTCAATCTTCCTCTTTATTTAGATTCCCAGAGGAAACTTTGAGGAATTTAGGATTGTATCTGGGCCAACAACAGAGCCTCCAAGATAGCAGTACACCTGATGGGTCACCACTAACCATGAGCCTCGCCCCCTCAATATTCTACTTGCATAGTGGTTCTCTTTTTGTCATGGATCAAGGAATTAAAAAAAATTCTCCCTCTGATCCCATATATTTATATTGGCTTCCCGATGATAATTATTTCCCTATGATAATTACTTCCTATGATTTGGGACATCTTTTGTTTCGTGACTGAACACATCTCCACTATCTCTTCTACAAAGAACAGCCACAGAAGAAGTCACTAGCCAGGTTTCTGTACTCAGGTGCTTTCTCAGGGTATTCTGGAGTTTTGGACATAAACAAACTGTATTATTAAAAAATGACCATATTTCACATTTGTCGGGTAAATAATTGTCAGGCTTTTCCGCCCTCCGACATTAGATTAAACACATGCCTGATGGTGGACACCTGGAATAGGGTGTGGGCATGCATAGGTGGATACACATGGGCTGAGTTGAGACTGGCTTATAAAAGCAGAAGACCAGAAGAGGAACAAGTGAGAGATTGGACGAGAACCAGCAGAGAAGCAGAGGCCACGAGAGAACACCAGAGAACCCAGAAAGGTTGAAGACTTGCTGGGGGCTGGGAGGTCTGCCAACCTCCATGCCCCCCAGCACCCCTACCTTCCATATACCTGGTAAACCCAATAAAAGCCTGAAAAAGCCACCAAGAGCTCCCGGACTCCTCCTTCACCCGTCTGTTGGAATCATAGAGATCCTGCTCTGGGCAATCCTGCCACTACACATTCTTATTAAGTTCCTTTTTTATATGCCCTGAGATATCATGATTCAACTCTCTCTTAGCTTGCAGTTCAAGAAAATGCTCCCAAAGAGTGCCCTGTAACCCTACTCTCAAGCTTGCAGGTAACAATCATCCTCTAGCCGAGCGGGGTCTCTAAACTCAACAATCTGGTAAAAATGAGGTAACTAATTCTCATTGTTTGTATATATACCTCAGCAGTGAAGATATTTAAATTGAGCCCCTCAAATACCACCGAATACCTCTAACTTCATGAAGATAGATGTAATTAGAATTTATGAATTATATAATTTGTCTTTATTTTAGTTTCAAACAATGGCACTAGATTCTCCTATAGTTGCAAGGTAGAGGTGGATATACATGAGCAAAAAAGGACCAATAGTTAAAAATTCTGCAGGAACCAGGTCACTTTCAATGACTATTAGAAAAGATGTGGAATATTTCTGCAGTTTCTTAGTCAGCTGGTATTTTTCACTAAATGTGTCTTTAGTTTCTTAGCTAAAATTTTTCACTAAATGTGTCTTTATCTAAAGGTAATAAAGCTTTGCATATAAAAGTCATAGAAGTAATAATAATAGGACTAATTATTATTAGTAGGATTAGGATTATTAGGATCCCTATTAACTTCCAAGACACTGTACTAAGCACTTTATGTAAGTTAACCCTTTATATTCTCAGGTGAACACTACACAATAAGTATGATTGTTTTTCTTTCTTGGTTAAGAAAACTGAGTTGCAGAAAGTCTAAAAAAAAATAGATCAAAACCAATTAGTAAATGGTAGAACAGAAATTTAAACCCATTCCATCTTTCATACTGGTTAATATGCCTATAATTTAATAAATTGCATTTTAACATGTCAACCTTGCCGTCTTGATGAATACGGAACCAGAGCTAGAATAGCTTTCGATTTAACTTCATTAGAAGACATTTACATTAAATGTGACCAACTGTGCTTTCTTTGGGCCATATTCTTTTGTTGCTCTAAACATTATTTGAGTAAGAACTTGATAATATTTTGAGCAATTGTGGCTTCAAAATCTTTAAGTGCTATTATACAGATAGGTCACTTTTAACCTTGATAATCAATTTTAAAATTTTTCCAATTTATGGCTATCTGAGTAATTTAATTTCTTAGAGTTACAGCAACATTCATGTATTCTTCACTGTTCATCATGGTACCTTGGCACTTTTGGAAACGTGATAATATACTTGTAGTATTATTAATAGGTTAGTACACAGGATATTTCTCCACTCTCCTTTCTACTTTTCCCATTCTCTTACAGTTACTATTTTATTCCTCTCTACTTGCCTCTACTCTCCACCAGTGAAATTTATCTTTCTTTCCTCTCATCTTTGAATTTTCTTTCCTCATTAATATGATGTGAATGATTTACTTAAAAGCTGCTTCAGCTTGCCTCTCCTGGATGACTTATAATCATGGAAATTCTGATTATTTGATACTTTTATTTACTTGGATTATAGAGACACACTGGAGTTATATTGTAAAGTAATATTATCAGTCCTGGCAGAAAAAATTACAGCTTTGACCATATATCTGTGAAAAAGTGAAGGTCATTTTACTTCAAATAATTATTCACCTGCAGTAACAAAAGCACTAATTCCAAGGGTATCACAAAAAACATAGCTGATCACTGTTTCTGGTACCTGTAGGATCCATCTCATCCTAGATGAGGCCTCTGTAATACATTTCACAGAGTAGAGATCAAGATTCCAGCCTATTCACTGCAACATGTTCAATGTAAAACATATCCACCCTTGCATAATCAATTCATGCCAGATACCTGCTTGTCCACCTGTGTAGTAACTGACCTCCTCTCCTGGACTACCAGGTTCTATCAGATCATTCTCTTAGCATGCACATGTCTTGTGCTGTTGCCATCCATGCCACAGCATGACAATATTGAAGTTTAGAAAAAGAGGTAGCTATTTAAGTACTCTAAGTTTTATGTTTCCATCTTTCAAAGAAATTTTTACAAAATTTAAAATAAATTTAAAAACCCATTCATACTATTCATTAATAAGTTGTTAGAGGGCCTCCCTGGTGGCGCAGCAGCTTCGCAGCCCACAGCCACTGCAGCACCGGTTCAATCCCCAGCTGCCGGCAAGGGTCCCACATGGCGTGCAGACCTCTCCTGCCGCGGTCACTGCTCCCCTCAGCAGTGTACTTTGTCAGACTGCCTGTTCTGTTTCCCGCTCTGGCTCTGGTAAATTCTCTCTCTCTCCCACGCTTCTGACTGTACCCACTGCTTGTATAATTAAATAAATAAATAAATCTTAAAAAAAAAAAAATAAGTTGTTAGAGATTCTAAGCAACTGTTTTAAGGGCAACATAATTACAACTGAATTACAAATGCAGGCTTTATGACTTCAGTTAAACTCTAGGCCATAATCTATTAAAGACAGATTACACACATTAAATTACAAGTAAGGAAAAATAAATATCTCACATGATTTATACTATCAAAATAACCAAGGGCAACATTTTAAATAAATTATGTTCACAACTTTTATCAGCATAACCTAAACTATTTCTCAAAAATCATCAGCAAAAATAATTCTCACACTTAATTTTCATGTACATATACATCATAGTTTCTCTTAGTTACTTCATCATTTCATTATTCCCCCAGAACATCTATAAAAGTGTCTCCTAAGGGTGAAAAACTAGAAGAGACTCTATATTTTAGTGATAAGAACACATATTAGCTTTAAGAGCATTATAATTAAACTGAGAAATATTTAATTTTAAGGATTTTATTAAGAATAAAATTAAGAAACTAAATATTAATTCAAAGCAAACTGAAATTTCAGCATCATTTTAAAGGAACTTAAAAGAGCTAATCTTAAAAAAATGTTACCATAGACAGTGTTACACCTCACTTTCCACACTAGGGTCTCGCTTATCTCCAATGTGTTTTCGCTAAAGTTTTTTGACTTCTTAAGGATTGGGTTACATTATGAAAAGTAGCTTGTTGAATATCATGTGTACAACATTCAATTTTGAATAATCCTCACTCCCAACTGTGAGACTCCTCTAGTGAAGAATTTAGGGATACGAAGCATGTTAGCTTGAATCTAGCTGCTCTGATGCGAGCACACCATGAAGCAGAAGTAAGGAAGCTGAAAGAAGGCAAAGATGCACTTGAGCAAGAACATCTTGGGGCACAGGGAAGGATACAAGAAAACAAAGAGTATTTCAAATAGAAGCTTAAGTGTCAATTTAAATAAATTAATGTGAAGGTAGTAGATATAAGACAGACAGTAGATATAAGACAGGTAGTAGATATAGATATTCTAGGAATTGGAGATTTTGGTGTTTTGAGTAGAAGATAAAATGGCTGATAGTAAGGATAAGAGGACATTCCCAGCATGGGGCCTGCAGATAACACATGGACAACCATAACCCTGTGCCCTGTGCATTTCTGGTTCCCCACTGGAATAAAAAAAAAAAAAGGCTAAGATAGGTATGACATGGTTGAAAATTAGCTATGCTTCTGAGATTATTAAAGTATGTCTGGATTTAAAATACAGATACATATCTTACTTTTATAGTCAATTTAGAATCTATAAGAAATAATGTCCCTATTAGAAAACTCAATTTTTCTCATCTAGTTCACACAAGTTTTTACAAAGTCACCAATGACTGGTAAAAGCTCTATAATCAAAATGATCTGAGTGCCAAATCCCACTACTGGCAAGTATTTTATCAAGGAAACAGAAGAAAACAACTTAACCTCTATTACTATTATTTCTACTAGTTAGCTTGCATCAGGAAAGGCTGAGAGTTAAACATATAGGAGACACTCTGATGATGTAAATAAGTTTACAAAAACAAATGGAAGTGTTTCGTGGACAGAGAGTTTGTTGGACTAAATTGCCATTCTCATAGAAAATCTTGGAAAAGAAGTACATTTAATAACTTTTACAGGGAAGGTAGTAACTTTGTGATAGAAATTTCTGATGAAGTTCCTCTGTGTGTTCTTTGGGTTCAATTTGCTTTCATTTTTCAATACTCAGCACTATGACTGTTTTTGGAAGGAAATAAAATAAGCCTATGACTTCCTTACCGCCTCCACTTCAGCAGGATCGTACCAGACATTGATGTATGGATGCTGTAAGGCGTCATCCACTGATATCCTTTTTGCTGGGTCGATCACTAGCATCTTTGACAACAAGTCTCTGGCTTGGCTGGCTGAAATAATGGAGAAAAACAATTAGTAAAATTTTTATTTTGACAAACACATTTGCTGGAAGGATAGGAAACTAAGTAAACAAAGAGCAAACAGCACCTTTCTTACAGACATAAAGTAAAATTCTTGACATGCTAGAAAAAGAAATGAACAGTGCACCTTTTTCTGTATGTCTCTATGCCTATGTCTTTATTTGAATCTCTTTAAGGATTAAAATGTATTGAGTGTACAAGTATGAATACTTACTCGAGGTAATATTGAGTAGGATAAGTATAAACAAAAGATAAACAGACTAGAGAGGGAAGGAAATGCAAATACATAATGCTCAACAAATACATGAATGGCTGTTTGAAGTTGAGGCATGTCTATTTTTACTATGTTTTCATTCATACAATGAATCAGCAGAATTTGAGCAACCCAACTCACTGTAGAGATCATGTAGTTGAAATTCCTTAGATATATAAGAAAAAATCTGAAAAGTGGATGTGATAAGAATATTATTCAAAATGTATTAAAACAGCAACTAGAATAATAGATAAAGGTAAGTTGAACAACCAACCTTTGAGAGTTGACTATAGAATTAAAACACCAAGGTGGGGGAGAGAAAAATCAAAAAGGGATGAGGGTACAATGGTCTATGGCAGTGGAACAGGGGTGAGTTGTTGGTGAGTACACTATAGTGCTAACACCTGATGGTGATAATACAACCTCAGTTCAAACTAAATAAATATTCCAGAAAAAGAGTATTATTCAACTACTGAATTTTGTTGAAATATTTCTGTAATCATGAGGAATTGTTTTTTGAAAGGAATCAGATTTGATGAAAGCTCATAGGTAGAGGCTCAACCAGTCTGAAGCTATACCAGCTACGTGTGGAAAATTTTACAACATGGATATGCTATTATGATAAATTTTATGACCCTGGGGCATAGTTGCTAAAAATTACATAATCAGAAACTGTATTCATTTAATGACATTGCTAATGTACACTCAATTTTAATCTTTAAAACTATTTTAAAATTATATAAAAACAGTTCTGAACTGACTTAAAAAATTATGGGAAAACTTCAAATTACAAAGAACAAAATATAAATTGGTTTGTTATAGTAGGAAAAAACAAAATGTTTGATAAGGGCCAATTTTTATTTTATCAATTTTTCTTCTTATTAATGTAATATGGGTTTATTATACAAAATAAAGAAATTACAGAATATATAACCAGGAAAAAGCAACCATTCTTGCCAACTAAAGGCAATCATTCTCGGGCCTCCCAGGTGGCGCAGTGGTTGAGCGCTGGGTTGCGAAGCTGCCCGCAACCTCTGCAGCGCCGGTTCGATCCTAGGCCTCTGGGTGAGGGTCCCACATGGCGCGCAGACCTCTCCTGCCACCCGCTGCTCCCCTCAGCAGTGTACTTCGTCAGTCTGCCTGCTCTGCTCTCCCCTCTGACTCTGGTGAATTCTCTCACCCTCCCACACTTCTGACTGTACCCAGTGCTTGTATAAATAAATAAATAAATCTTTAAAAAAAATAAATAAAGGCAATCACTTTCTTTACTGGTCTATTCTTTTCTAGTCTTACGTTTTTTCATCATTTTGATGATGGCTGTAGTTAACACAGAAATCTATTTTTTCACAAGTCCTATGCCATTAGTATTTTCTTTTGTTATTACTTTTTAATAAATATATTTTCTACATATTATTTACATTATTTATTTATATATTTACCAAATAAATCATTAGTTGAATTAGAAGACATTTTATTTCTATCAAAAATTTTGCTGGGGTCTCAATTCTAGAAATTTTAATTGAGACACTTTGAAAATGTGACACTTTCAAAATGACACTTTGAAATTGACAAGAAAAACAAAAATACAGGAACATGTAACACATTAATTTTTAATATTTAATCATTCTTATTGCCAATGATCTCCCAGTAGTCCAATGGGGCTGTGTTTCTTTAATTTATTTGTCCAAAGAGCTCTTAATTTTTAGCTTTTATACCAAAACTCACAGAGCCCCCTCTCCAAATACTCACATAAGCCCACCAATGATTCAAATACTCCCATATGAGCCCACCTTGCTCATAAAGGGGTATCAATATGAGCACTTCAACAATATGAGCATTTCAACAATAAGAGCATGAGCTGTACCAATATCAAACCATCTCACTAACAATGATCAATACTATTTGCAAGGAACAAATGGGGGAAGGATAATGTTTCAGTTCTTCATCTTTATTTCATTTGAAACAAATGTCTTTTGCTATTCTTCAATTACAGTAGAATAAATTATCCCTTTTGATTATTTATATAATCATAATTTGCTAATTTTATATTAAAATACAGTTAAATAATTATAAATATGTAAAGTAGTTTTCATTTGCAAAAACAATATATCCCTAGAGGCTCAAATCTAATTAAATAGCAAAAAAAATCAAAAAGTTTGTATTTGAAGATGGTAATTACTTAGTAATTGTACAGGTGCTGTCATCATCATTGATAAATATTAATTTAATCAGGGCTTTGTTTTTTTTAAAGATTTATTTATTTATGCATACAAGAACTGGGGTACAGGCAAGAGGTGCAAGGGTTTGTGAAGATTCACCAGAGACAGAGTGGGGAACAGAACAGGCAGATTGACTGAAATATACTGCTGAGGGGAGCAGCGGGCAAGACAGGAGAGGTCTGCTCTGCTGCACCATGTGGGTTGCTCCCTGGCTGGCTGGGGATTGAACTCATGCTGCAGAGGCTGCAGATTGCTTCATAGTGCGGTGCTTAACCCCTTGTGCCACCAGGGAGGTCCTTTAATCAGGGCTTTGTGATCTTAGGTATTGTTATATTACAAATGTCTTCATGTAAAGAAATTACTTCTAACCCACATGTCATTAATCAATTATCAAACACAAATTCTTTAACATCTCTACTTAGAGTCTTAACTATTTTTTCATCTTCATTTGGGTGGTGCTGATTTTAAAAGCAATACATTCACTAATAATTTAGTCTGTTGCCATTTAGAGACTGGTAGAAGCAGTCGGAAGAAGAAACAACTGTCATAAACAGAAATGAAGTTTGGAGGCCACAATAAAATGCTGGGAAATGGTAGCACCTCATTTTAGTTTCCCTGTCTCCCTTACACCTATATTAGCTATAAATTAAATTTGCAAGTTAGGTCTGCATTTAATAAATTGAAACAATAATTTAAATGTATACTATGTTGCTCTTTTAGAATTACACTTCAAAATAATTTTCAGATTCTAAATAAGCCCTAAGCCCTAAGAATTATGTAACCCACACACTTTATTACTATCTTGCCTTCTGAATATCCAAATAATTTCAAAACTTCCTGGTACTTCCCCTTTATAAGAAAAATAATTTAAGGAATATCTCTCCATAAACTTGGGTGGTTCAAATTAAAAAGAGGGGTCAACGTCCCTTGATTGTTAGTCCATGACCCACATAGTGGTCTCAAGTTGTCCTTGATGGACCTACCTTTGAGTTTATTGTGCTCAGAGTCCGCTGGGAAGAGGGAATCTGGAAAGAGCTTGGGGAAGGTGAGTCCTGCATACTTGGGCCGATTCTCCACATAGTTTCTTACAGTAGGTTGCAATTTCTTCATGAATTCTGGACACGGTGTTCCTAGTTGCTCAATCACCTTGTTCCACTGGTCAATATCTGAGAATTGAATAGTTAAGGCCAAAAAGAAGTGCAGATACGAGCTCTAACTTTCACGTCTCAGAATCCTGAGCAGTCATCAACACGACCAGAGTTGAAATAAGCCACCAAAAAAATGGAAAATCAGAATTGTCCAGCAATGAAAATTTTTGAAATTATAAATTTGTCTATAGAATATATATATAGGGATCCAGCATTACTTAACACAACAGGATATCACAAAATTTTTTTTGGCTTTTAAAGATGAAAATGTCTTCAAATGATATAAAAAGTAGTTTCTTACATTGTGATAAACTTCTATGCACCGTGTTATTTAGATGAGAAAAAAGGACACAAATTATTTTACCATATTTTCTAAAAATGAAAAAGACACATTTGAAATAAGACTTATTTAATTTTTCTTAAATTCCTATTATGACTTATTTTCCTTTTTATACTAAATAGGAAATTTCATCATCTATTAGTGTTTTTGAGTGATATGTATTAAACCTGTGATCAATATAATTTCTGACAATAAATGAGCCATTAATTCTTCACCAAAGGCTTAAAAGATTATATATATATCAAAGTAGTTATAACTTCACACCATTTGTTCTTCACACCATTTGTTCTTACCTCTTACAGGCCTATATCCTCATTGTTACTTACAACACAATATGAGGGTAACTATACGAAGTCCAATAGAAGATAACAGATTTCCATGTAAATGTATTTCAGAAAATAAATTAGGCATGCAGAATTCTAGAGGGAAAAAAATTACCTCTCTATGAAAGTAATACCCTCAAAACTTGGAAGTAGCTCTAAAACGGACACATCTGATAAGTGAGGTTCTCTTTTTTCATCAGACATTAATGTTTCATCTATCAGAGTCCTGAGAATGACAACTTTACTTATGAAACTTCTGGAGAACTCACTGGAAGAAGGTGGTTTCCTGGTCATCTCATGTTAGCTATACTTTTATCTATTCTTTTACAACTTTATCCTTTAATGTTGATAAATTCAATTTTAATAATGTAATTTGCAACAGTTCATGAAATTTACTATAATTAATTAAGCTCTGTAAAATTTTGCTATTCATAGGGTTGGATTAAAAAGGATCAGCAATCCTGACAAAAGGCAAAATTAACTATATTCAACAAAAATAAACATATAATACAAAAAAGTAGGTAAGAAATTGAACAAAGATGAAATCAAAATAATTCACAAATTCTCTTCTACTTCATTTGTAATCTGGCTGAAAAAAATTTTAAATATTTCCTCTCAGTTATTAGAATGAGAAATTACATAATTTCAAGAAATGAAGTGAGGGTAGGAAAAACTAAAGAATATTATTTTACAAATTAGAATAATAATAATAATTAAGCAAGAATATATTTCAATAAAAGTTCATTTGAGTTATTATGTACAGGAAAAAATGGTACTTAGAACCACTAGAAATAAAGAAACAAAAAATTATAAAATGTTAGTGTTAAAAGCTACGCTCAGTGAAAAACCTGTTACTACTATGAATATAGGCAAGCAATAACTTCCTAGGTATATTTAAGTAAAAACCATTATTATAATTAAATAATCTCAAATTCTGCATTGCAAATTACAGAAAGGAGTTTCCTATCTAAGACAGGCTAGTATGCTATACCAAGCCATCATTTTATATTGGTCAAGCTTTCTTAGAATCTCAACTAATTGTCAAATTAAAAGGGGCAAAGAAGCTGTCAGATTTTACAAAGGAGTTATTTAGTAAAGTTGGCAAAATACTCTTCAACATCCTAGTGACATTTGCCTCGAGTTATAAATTTATTCAGTAAAAAAGAAGAATGCTTTCGAAGTAACATTCCCCAAATAACCTCATAGTATATTAACAATAAAGTTTAAGATGAGCCAAGTACTGTGGATTTTTTAAAACAGAAATTGTGTGTGTATACGTGTATGTATGATATATATGGAAAGGTTCTGGATTTAAAACTCATGGTTATGCCTTAAGTTGTTTTGTTCCTTTAAAAATATTTTAATTCTTTTTCATTTGAAAATGTTCTTTTCCTTTGAAAAGTCCTCTTCAAGTTTGGATAATATAGAAATACGAATAAGTGATTTGATGTACAATTACATTTGCTTCGTGGTAAGTACGCTCAGGGTGAGGAAATAATATAAGCCAAAACACATCAAAAACTCAAAGTTGATAGTTTGAGTAAAAAGGCTATCGACTCTGGGCCTCCCCAGTGGCGCAGTGGTTGAACGCTGGGTTGTGAAGCTGCCCGCGGTCTCTGCGGCGCCGGTTCGATCCCCGGCTGCTCCTTGGCCACCGGAGGAGGGTCCCACATGGCGCGCAGACCTCTCCTGCCGCCCGCTGCTCCCCTCAGCAGTGTACTTCTGTCCTTCTGCCTGTTCTGTTCCCCGCTCTGGCTCTGGTGAATTCTCTCACCCTCCCGTGCTTCTGACTGTACCCAGTGCATGTATAAACAAACAAATAAATAAATAAAAAACATGCCTCTATATATAAAAAAAAAAAAAAAAAAAGGCTATCGACTCACTAGTAGCAGATTGCTAGAAAGTCATGTAACATCCAAAGACTGACATTAGAAGGAAGATGTACATAGATCTTATTACAATGTCTTTGTCTTATAAATCTGTTATAAATCTGTTACTATAATCTATAAATTTTTACCTACAAGCAAAAAATGCAAAAAGCATGTTTACATATCAGGAAATCTAATATATATTAAGATGTCTCACAAAGGTAGCATATTCATTAAACTATCGAAGGTAAATCTTCAGTGGCTCTCATTGGCACAGACTATAAGGCTCTGTACCTAATTTTGTATTTGTAATATTAACTCTTTTTTGTATAATTTCTTCCCCAAATCATATGATATTGTTGCCTCTATTCTAGGCTGCATCTGAGCCTATCTTCATGTGATAGCATGAAGACCAGAGATCCTTTAATTTGATACGTACATGTTTTAGTTGAAAACTATCAAGGTCATTTTAAAGTTGGTAAATATAATAACTTTTAACAAAGTAGACAACACAAACAGCCCTTAATGCTAATTAAATACAGAATTGTTATTTGGGGAAAATTGTAGTGACACTGTACTCTGTTCTGTGAGACTTTCTCTGGAGATAACATCCTTTTATGGATATAATACAATATGAAAGGGAGGTTAAGAAGAGACCATCAAGTTTATATGAGTCAATTAAGCATGCTCTATGAGGCATTTTTGACTTAACATTTTATGTGGAAACTTAGAAAGAAGGAGATAATCCCTATCCTTCCTTTTAATACTTTGGTCCCTCATTTCCTACAGCTGTTTTCATCTTCTAATACACTGTGTCTTTTATTGTAAATTTTATCATGATAAAGACTTTAGTTAGTTTTATTATACTGATAGAACTCTGGAGACAAAAAGTGCCCAACATTTAGTAGGTCCTCAAAAAAATTTATTGAATAAGTGAATTTCTGTCTTATGTCCAATCCAAATTAGACACTTATGGGCATAGTATAAGGAATAGGGGAGATAAAATATTAAACAAAACAAAAACTGAGAAATTTCAGTAACTGAAGATTAGTTGGAACTCAGGAAGCTCGGAGAATGGCAAAGAAGGGATGTAAAAAGAAATCTATGTTTCATCACATAGTAGAGAAAGAGCAGAAAAGTAAATACCATGAAAAAAAACTAGCTGAGTAAAGCAGAGAAAAGGATCAGACTACTGTCAAAGCTAAGTATGACATTTGTGACTAAAATTATTCACAAGTAAAATTGCAAAGAAAAAAATCAGTGGAAAAAAAAACCTTTTTTTTTTTTTGCTGGAAGAAATGCTGGAAGAAAATAATTTCCTATCAATAACTTTATATCCAAATAAACTAACTTTAAAGCAATGATATACAAATCAACAAAATCGTTAATCATCAAAGACTCTCGCTAAAGTCTCTTGTAAGGAATAAACTTCAGGAGGAAAAAAAATGACAAAATAAGGTCAAATATGAAGAAGTAATGGTAAATCTTCCCTCCCCCCAGAAAAGATAAGAATAAGGATATATCTAAACAAAATCTATGTCTATTCAATAAAAGTATTGTGTTGTCAATTTGTAAGGCTAAAAAAGAAAACTGAAATACTGACATCAATAACATATTTAAGTTACAATAGTAATGATCTAAATTAGTGTACACTGAGATTGTTTTGTATTCAGATAAAGATAAAATCTGTCCTAATTAAAATAGCAATTATTCACAAATTAAACTGTAGATTCAATAAGTTCCATATAAATATCAGGAGGGATTGTTTTATAGAAATTAGCAAGCCAATTCTAAGACTTTTTTATGAACAATGGCTTATTAATTTTTTGTCTTTGGGAGAAAATGCATATAAGATAATCTTAAGAGGATTGATTATATAAAGATATCTTGCCAATCAATTTTTTAAAGAAAAAGTTACTTTTTTCGACAATACATTAACAGGACTATACACAATAATCAAGTGGCATTTATTTCAGGAATGTAAGAAGCGTTCAACATTTGCAATTCAATCATTTTCACTCACCACATCAATAAAAGGAAAAATAAAAATCATAGGATCTTATCAATATATACAGAGAAACCATTTGATATAATTTAATATCTTTTGTGATAAACCTTAAAAATGGGATAGAAGGAATGTAGGTCAACATAATAAGGCCACCTATGTCACACCCACAGCTAACATCATATTCGATGAGGAGAAACTGAAATCTATTTTCTAAGATCAGGTACAAAACAAAATGTTAACATTCACCACTATTTTACGTAGTGTTAGAAGTTATAGTTAGAGCAATTAGGTAAGAGAAAGGTATAAAAGGAATCCAAATTGGGAAAGTATAATTATCACTATTTCAGATAATACAATATATATATAGAAAAACCTAGAGAGTCCACTAAAAAAAAATCAAAATAATAAATCAACACAGTAAAGTGCCAGGTTATAAAATCAATTAAAAAGTCAGTTGCAGCCCTATAATGAAAACAATG